TTATATTAAAATTAAAACAGCATAATTGCATATTAGGATTTTTGTTTGTTTTTCCTTATATTTTTCTTCATACTGTCGGATCTATATTCATTCATTTGCTTACACACACACATACACATACACACACACACACACACACACACACATACACACACATATATATATATATGTATATATATAGTTAATCTAGTATATATATATATATACACCATATATATATATATATATATATATATATATATACACCATATATATGTATATAAATAAAAAAAAGAACAGCAAGATATATAATCCGGTGTTCTTAAAGATATTTTATTTTTACAAAATAGTGCTCAATGTAAATTTACAGAGCATTAATATTATAAATTAATTGATATAAAATATGTTTTTTTCGCTACACAGTTCTAACCATGTTTCAAAATGGAAAGCTAAAAGCCACGAATTTAATTTTGTGATTAAATTAAAGACATTAGTTCCATTTCATCCTCAAGCGAATTTTGGAGTAACTTTTTTAAAATTTCTGGGTTTTAAATACACAGCTAAAACAAAATTCATGTTTCCAAGGTTACAGATAAATCTATTTCTCTCTCTCTCTCTCTATATATATATATATAGACAGACAGAAAGACCGACAGACAGATCTAGTTCTGTCTGCCTCCCATTGTTTCTCCTCCATACTATTAATACTTTTCTCTTTCTTTCTTTCTTTCTTTCTTTCTTTCTTTCTTTCTTTCTTTACGTCTCACTCCTTCTGTACCGTGTTTCAAGTCACGTTTCCCTTTTCGTTTTTATGACTTGAGTTGTCTCTGATGTACGACAGATGGAAAGAAGTGGACACATTTCAACATTAAAAAAAATTGAATCTTAGAATCAACATTCAAAATAAAAATATGCAAGATTCTAACGCATATTTTATTATGGGCTTTTAACTTTGGAAACAAAGTCTTCTTTCAAAAAAGAACTTTTTCACCGAAACACTTTTCGGGTATTAGAGTCAACTGCAATATTCAGTTTCTGATACGACAACGATTTCGCATCAAATGATAAGGAACTCATCAGTAATGGACAAAGCCTTAATCATAAAGCTGAAGAAATCTTTGTAGGTTTTAGTGTTTGTATCTCGCTTTCTTGGTTTGGATTTATTCCATCCGATGTTGTTCACTTCACCAAAAAAACATTTTTGATATGATTGTAAGGACTGGCGCGAGAAAAGAGGTATTACACTTAACAACTCATAATTAACATTCATAGTTCTACTTGGGTTTATTTTGCACCTTTTCCGTTAATTCACCTAAAATAATATAAAGTTACTTATCGCAAATATTAATTCACCTCAAGAAATTATAAATTTGACATTCCATTTGACATTTGTTTGATTTTTATTAAATTTTTCGTGCTCTTTTGAAATTATAAATTTTAAATCAAAACAGCTCCAACCCTCGGAATGAAAAATTACCAAAAATCAAGGAGTTATTCACATTCAAGTGGGGATGATATTCAAGGTTTTTACAAGGAATTTTTTACAATTAAAAAAAAAAAAGAAGAAGAAGAATTCTGTTTTTGGCTTGTTTATCAGGGTGAGGTCGAATGCCGGACCTACACTTAGAAATAGTGCACCTGAGTTGTCCACGTTTTTGGCAATCGCAAAGCTCAATCCAACCGGAGGGCAATGAAAAGGCCTCGCTCTGAATGTGAATGTGAATTTTAGTACATATGAATTCTTTATATTTTGGGGTGAATTAATAAAAAAAAAAGCCTTCATTTTTGGTATAATAGAGACATTTGGTTTAACTAATATTGAAATATTAACATATGAAAAAAAAAGGATTCCATAATATGTGAACAATACAATATTTATATAGAGTGATCAGTAGGAAATACTAAAAACTAACGTTTTCAGTTGACATGAAGTGGAAAGACTTTATTGAATCAATTGCTAAGTCTTCAGCTAAAAAAGTTGGTTCACTTTGATATCTGTCTATATTTCCAACCACCTGAAGAAGGCTGGAGCGTATAACGGCCGAAACGTTAAAAGTCCTCAAGGACACATGGCGCAGTGGATAAAGGCGTTAGTTAGATCCAGTGACAGGACCCAAAGAGTGTGAGTTCAATACCCGGTTAAGGCAGTGGAGAACTTGGAGAGGGGGATTAACAGGAGATAACTCACAACTGACATCCATTAAATCTGGCACGTGGAACTAGAACAGTCTACCCCAGGGAGAGAAATAAAGGGTTCAGTTCAACATTCCAACCACCTCAAAAAGGCCGGAGTGTACAACGGCCGAAACGTTGTAATATATATGGCGACAAAGATGGGGACAATAGTCTGAATAATGTAAATTGGTTCATTCTATGGAACTAGACAATTTCTCTCGTCAGAATCTGGCATAACTCATAAGTCATTCTTCTTTGAATATTGCTTCCACATCTGGTATTGTGCAAATTAATTGAAACAAAGCGAATAATCCCGTTATTATTTAATTTTCGTATTTTTCCAATGAAACATGACCCAGTGCACATGTTTGTATTTCGTATGTCCATTCCACGATTGCATTTAAATCAGGAGAATTTCCGGATCAGTCTATAGTACTTTGATTTGTTCCCTGGTAAGGCTTGCCAGTGTGTTCGGGCAGCCTTTAATAATTTTCGTACACTTTCTTGAGGTAACGTTCATTGCAGACAATGGCCGTAGTCGAGACAATAATAAGTGGGCGTGATAAAAATCTGATGCAATCATGCATGATGCGATATTTTTCAAGGCCAAACAAATTTCATCATACACCCTGAAAATAGATTCACACCACTGCAAATGACCTAATCTGAGGAAAAACAGAAATCGATTGCACACTGTTACTCCAGTGGGTCAGAAAGAAAGGAAACTAAAGCGGTTGGTTTAATTAATATGCACAAGTGTGTATATTTAGAGATTGTTGATAAAATCCAAAGTTGATTCCGCAATGTCATTGGTCATGACCTGGCATCTCTGTCTCTAATTTATTTCCCACTGCCGTAACGTAAATACTTTGTTCTGATGAACTTTCCACTGTGCGACCTAAATTTTATGAAGTTAAGTGCAGTACTAGATTGGCGGAAAGGTCTCCTCATTTTACAGTTGAAACGGCTAGATGTATTCGTAAGTTCTATGCTAACTGTTTCTTCAGTATCTGTCTCTATTTCTGAGATGAGGTATTATGTACACTATTTATATTATTTGGACTATTGTCCTCATCTTTGTCGCCATATTTATTACAACGTTTCGACCGATGTCGAACTGAACCCTTTATTTCGCTCGCTGGGGTAAACTGTTCTAGTCTATGGATGGCATCATCCGAAAAATCATTTTTTGACTTTGAAAGACTGGCTTTTACTTCAACTGTATTATAAATACTTGATTTTAACTAATTTCGATGAAGCTTTTTTGATATAATGGAATATGCATACACCTATGTTCCCCCTCACTGGAGTGTGATTGGCTGGTGTCCGTCATAAATACCGACGGATGTGTAGGAGAGTCAAAGAGCCTTAGTCTGAGAGCTAAGTATATAACGACGCCCAGTGGACTACGCCATTGATCTACACTTCTTACCTGCGACTACAACGCGTACCAGTCGATTACTGCTACGGTATTCTACTTGGTTATAGTAGCCAAAAACCACTTAGCTACTTCGTTCAAATATATCCCTTTCCGGGACATATCATTTTTATTTTATTTTTGTGTATTTATTCTCAGGGATTACGTATCCTACATTGGTTCTATTCTAACAGTTCTTCCCTGTGGAACTCCCTTCCGTCTTCTTGCTTCCTTGCCACTTACAATCTTCAAAAATTTAAATGTAACATCAACTGCCATGTTCTGTACTCCTGATGCTTTATTTTCCTTTCTCAGCATTAAATTCTAAAAAAATACACGCGACTATTCAATATGCCAAATGGAGGAAACAATGCAACATGTAATTTTTTTCTTGTCCCCATTTCGACTTCATTCTTTTTGACATCGGAGTTTTCCATTGGTTACATTAGTATTTCAAAAAAGAAAAAAAAAATCTTACTTTCTGTACTGCCCTTTTTTGACTAAAAGAAGGAAACAGGGTAACAAAGAAAGTGATGTTGGTAACTAAAATCAATTTAGAAATATCAGGTACTCATAATATAAAGAAAGTTAATCAAAACGGTCAATAGAAATAAATAATTTACAATTCTATAAGCCTAAAAATGAAACGAAAAAATATCAGATCATTGCAGAAGTTCACGCCCGACTTTCATTGTTGATATAAAATGGCCGTAACTTGACACTGACGTTTGTTTTGGTGCTGATTTCTGGTGTGTTCGAGATTGAAAGCTTGAATCGTTCAACTGCGCGTCAAACTTTGTTGAATGTTGATTATTCGTTCACAAAATCGAAACCTTAAAGATGGAGGGTGAAAATTTCACTATCACCATATTACGCTCATATTAAATCAGTTCAGGGTACCATTTTTGAAAGAGACACGCGTGTCCTTTCATTTGATAGTTTTACATTAAATATACTTGATTTATTCGCTTTTTACGGTTTATCAACCCTTTACAGATTATTTAAAGCCAGAATATATTTTTAGCATTACTAATTAACCGAAGGCACAGTGGAGTAATGGATAGCAGCTCGGATTGAGGAATCGGAGAGCCGAGTTCGAATTCCAGTGCTGATACCCTTGGGAAAGGTATGAATCCTCCTCTTCTTCTCCCCCTCTCCTCGCTATGGGTAAGTAGCAGGACAGACCGGGTTTTATAAAAGCCTTGGATGGCAACTGGTCTACCACAGAAAAAATGACAAACTACTGCGGGAAAAAAAATCTGGCTCGTCAGTCATGTATCGAAAGATACATGATCACCTAAGCGTCTATCACGCATGGCACATAACTGGCTGAATTAACCTATAAAGACAAGAGATGGATTCATACCTTTCGATGTGCATAAAGGAATATATCGATAATATAAATATTACACTACCAGCACCAACCATGATTACAGCACTTGATATTCCCAAGTGGTCACCGATCTAGGTACTGACCAGGTTCAAAGTTGCTTAACTTCGGTGATTGTACGGTTACCGGTGTTTACACGTTGCTGTAAAAACTTGTTCATTATGATAGGAACAATAAAGGGACAGATCTTTTGAAAAAGTTCGCGTCCAATTTTCATTGTTTAAATTTTCATTGTTTGCCCGGGGATGTAACAGTAAGAGATAGATCAAGTATCGACCATCATAAAGACTGAAAAATAAAATTGACAAAGATTATTGTTTAAGGTTGACGGACACGCATGTCTTAATTAGTTTTTTTTTTTTTTTTACGAATTGTTCAAACCCAAACTCAAACAAAAACATTGTTTTCAATCGTTATGAGTCTACCGATTGAATAGAATTTTATTATAAACAATTGTCTTGTAAATGGAATTTTAAAGCATTCTGAATGTAAAAATAAAAGAAAAAAGTGTGCAAGACAATAAGAAACACTACCTGCCAAAAAAAAAAGTGAAGTTTTGTTGAAATCGGTTGAAAAATGTAGGAAATCTGATCCCATATATAAACGAACACACACACAAACAACTTGGGTTTTATAATAAGTATAACTCGATATGAGTTGTCCCCCTTTCATTCTCGACAGCGATGCCTCTTAATCGTGTTTTCAAATTGATTTCATGCAAAAACAATTGTGTTTTTCCAATTTTTGGCGCTGTCACAACCACCGGAAGGTAATTTTACGTAGTCCTGTGAAGTTTTGTTGAAATCTGTTGAAAAATATCGGAAATCCGATCCAATACATAAACGTACACACACACACACACACACACACACACACACACACACACACACACACACACACACACACACACACACACACAACCTGGGTTTTATAATATGTATGATGACAGCAACTTGACACTGGTGTTTGTTTTGATGCTGATTTCTGATGTGTTCTAGATTGAAATCTTTGCATCGTTCAGTTGTGAGTCAGACCTTTGTTGAATGTCAACATTTTGTCCACAAATGAATGCCTTAAAGATGGAGGATGAAAAGTTGTACTTCCGTTATATTATGTTCAACAGATTTCGTAAAGTGTTGGAACTGCGGCAAAAATAAACTAAAATAAAAATAAAAAAATAGATGTTTTTTTCTACGGTTTATCAACCCTTTGCAGATTATTTAAAGCCAGAAAATATTTTTAGTATTACTAATTAACCTATAGCTGGGGAGAAGTGGTGGATTCATGCCTTTCGCAGTGCGTAAGTGAATATAACGAACCTAACTGGAATTGGAACTCGGCTCTCCGATTCACAATTCCGAGCCATTATCCATTACACCACCCGCACCAACCATGATTACAGCACTCGATATTCACAAGTGGTCACCGATCTAGGTACTAACCAGGCTCGAAGTTGCTTAACTTTGGTGATCGTACAGGAAACGGTGTTTACACATTACTGTAAAAACTTGTTCACAATGTTAAATTTATTGGAACATAGACAAAGTGACAGATCTTTTGAAAATGTTCGCGTCCGATTTTCATTGTTTAAATAAAATGACAACAATTTGACATTGGTGTTTGTTTTGATGTTGATTTCTGATGTTCTAGATTGAAATCTTTGCATCGTTCAGTTGGGAGTCAGACCTTTGTTGAATGTTAACATTTTGTCCACAAATGATTTTTTTAGAATCAAGTTCACCTCAAGCATGGCATTAAAGCCACTGAGACACAAGGGGTTACTGGATGTGGAAGAATTAGAAAACATATATCACCAAAGAGAGAGTACAGAAGAAGAGAAATCAGGCGGACAGTAGATAGCAATTGACATTGCATTTAAATTTTTGAACATTAAAATTGGCTGGAAAGCATGGAGCCGGCAGTGAGTTCCATGAGAGACAAGTGCAAGAAAAGAAACTACTAGCATAGAACTTACGGTTACATCTATCCAACTCAATTGTAAATCGATGCGGCCTCGTCACCAGTCTATATATATATATATATATATATATCTTATATTCATAAAGTGTAGTTACCATAGCGAAAAACGATATTTATTTTGTAATAAAATGCAAAAAATGTGGCATAAGGCCAAAAGGGGGGTATGGGAAAGTCTTGTTTTCTTCTGTCTTATATTTAAACTTATCTAACCGGAATCACTGATCCAAACATACCACAATATTCCTTATAGCAAAACAACACATTCTTATTTACCATTCTTACTACAGCCGCCATAATACCACAGAATCTCCATGAAGTCTTAACTAGTTCTCATATATACAATTCTTTCTGTGTTGGTAGTGGGGTATAAAACAACAATTTAAAAACCTAAAAACCAATGTTTATTTACATATCGTTATTTACATATGAGATATTATGTACACTATTTACATTATTTGGACTATTGTCCTCATCTTTGTCGCCATATTTATTACAACGTTTCGGCCTTTCAGTATCTGTCTATATTTCTGAGATGGGGTATTATGTACACTATTTACATTATTCGGATTATTGTCCTCATCTTTGCCTCCATATTTAGAGCAACGTTTCGGCCTTTCAGTATCTGTCTATATTTCTGAGATGAGGTATTATGTACACTATTTACATTATTCGGACTATTGTCCTCATCTTTGTCGCCATATTTATTACAACGTTTCAGCCTTTTGTATCTGTTTATATTTCTGACCTTTTTACATTATTTACATTATTCGGACTATTGTCCTCATCTTTGTCGCCATATTTATTACAACGTTTTATTTTTCCGACCTTTTTCACTGTTTGGGTCGAACTGAACCCTTTATTTTGCTCACTGGGGTAGACTATTTAGTTCCAGGTGCCATGTTTAATGGATGTCAGTTATCAGTTATCTCCTGTTAATTCTCCTGCCTTAACCGGGTATTGAACTCACAACTCTTTAAGGACACGTGGCACAGTGGATAAAGGCGTTAGTTAGATTCAGTAACAGGACCCAAATAAGTTCAATACCTGGTTAAGACGGTGGAGAATTTGGAGAGGGGAATTAACATGACACGTGAAACTAGAACAGTCTACCCCAGTGAGCGAAATAAAGGGTTCAGTTCGACATTCTAAAGAAGGCCTGAGCGTACAATTATACGTTGTCCCCTGAGCCGCGCTAGGAAGTTTTTCTCCCCGAAGTCGATCCTCCAGATCTACAAATCCACAATTCGCCCTTGCATGGAGTATTGCTGCCATATATGGTCTGGTGCCCCTCCTGTTTGCCTTGGGGTTCATGATAGGCTCCAGAGGCGGATATGCATTGTGGTTGGCCCTGCCCTGGCGTCTCGTCTACAGTCACTTTCTCACAGACGCGCAATCGCCTTTCTCGCTCTGTTCTACAAATACTTTCATGGAAATTGCTCCAAGGATCTGCATTCGCTGGTTCCCAGACGTCATGAGTTCCAGCGCCCTACGAGGCTGGCATCCCGCTCTCACCCCTTCACTGTCGAAACTCCTAAATGTAGCCGTCTCTTCTACTCTAATAGCTTCATGTCTCGCGCCTCTCGCCTGTGGAACTCCCTTCCCTATTCCTGTTTCCCTGTGAGCTATAATCTCCAGCTATTCAAGTGTAATGTCAATCGACAACTCCAGTTGCCTTGATCTATCCACTACCCTCATCCTTTCTTCTATCACTCCTATCTGATCTTGCTCTAAATTTTCTGTAACCCCTTGCATCCCAGTGGCTTCTCGCCTTGCTTGGGGTGAAATGCTTAAAAAATATATATGCCGACAAAGATGATGACAATAGTCTGAATAATGTAATTAGTAAACTTGAACAGGTTAAGATTGTACTGATTGGGAAATATCATTTTGGTAGTCTTTTCCGCTGTGCAGCACTCCGCAGAAAGAAGCTGTTCTAGTGGAACATTCACCAATGGCATACAGAGGGGATGTGGATAGTTTGCTACTATGTAAGTAGAACGGAGGGTCCTAGCTGTGAGGGTTACACCTAGCCTCCGAGCACTTTCCATGGAAGTAGCGATAGGGCTGTCGGGGACAGGTTTCAGGGTGGAAAATAATTCCTCTCCCACAAGGAGTCGGAGACGCCTTTGAACTCTATTGAGACTGGAAAGTGAGGACTGGGAATATGACAACAGTACACGGTTTTCGGTCTGATCTGGCTCTTATAAAGGTAGAGGATGGCATGAGGAGTCAGGTACTTACTGGAGTGGTACAGGGAGCCGATCATTTTAACCGTTTCTTTAGCGATGGATCTTATGTACATTTTTTGCTCTGGTTTCTTCAGAAAAAATTAAATGACAAAGAAACTGATTGTGTAAAGTCAGTTGAAAACTACTTCACAAGCTTATTCCAATAAAAAACACGAAGACTTTTAAGAAAATTGCATCGATACGCTTGTAGAACGATGGCAGACAGTTGTTAAAAATGGAGGCCATGTACTTGACTAATAAATGTTTTTTTGGAATATGTAAATAAAAGATGTTGTTTGGCTTCAGCGAAAAAAAGAAATTTGGTTTGGTTTGGTTTATTTTATTTAATGGCATATCAACCTCAATGGGTTATTTAATGCCGACAACATTTTTAGGATAGATTTATATGAATAGAATATGTATTCTTTGTTTTAGAATGGTTTGGTTTATTTTGTTTTACGGCATATCAACCTCAATGGGTTATTTAATGCCGACAACATTTTAGGATAGATTTATATGAATAGAATATGTATTCTTTGTTTTAGAATGGTTTGGTTTATTTTGTTTTACGGCATATCAACCTCAATGGGTTATTTAATGCCGACAACATTTTTAGGATAGATTTATATGAATAGAATATGTTTTCTTTGTTTTAGAATGGTTTGGTTTATTTTGTTTTACGGCATATCAACCTCAATGGGTTATTTAATGCCGACAACATTTTTAGGATAGATTTATATGAATAGAATATGTATTCTTTGTTTTAGAATGGTTTGGTTTATTTTGTTTTACGGCATATCAACCTCAATGGGCTACACAATGCCGACAAAATTTTTTATTGCTGGTAATATTTTATTTTGTTAAAAATCTGTTTCTGGCAAAATATTTCTTTCAAAATAGTATTGCTGGTAATAATCTCTTCCAAAAAAAGCATAACTGGTAATAGTTAACTATTTCAGCTGGGACCCTAACAGGTGCTACAACCTCGGGTCTAGATGGACCTGGGAACACCAGCAATTAAGAGGTGGTTCCACGCTCCTCAAAACCGCCTGATCAGAGGCCTTGCTGCTGGACATAGTTTAATGTCTTACCCAGGACGCGGTTGTAGTTTATTGTCTTACCCAGGACGCGAAAAAAAGAAATAATAATAATAATAATAATAATAATAATAATAATAATGATAATAATAATAGTAGTAGTAGTAATGGGAAAAAGACAACATTTGTCTAAAAAAAGTATTTATTTAATTACAAAGTTGAACTGCATAAATATAAACTCAATATTTACTTTTATCGGTATGGATGCTATCCCGAACGTTACTATCTATCTATCTATCTATCTATCTATCTATCTATCTATCTATCTATCTATCTATCTATGTCTTGTTCTTTTCGTACCTATCTATCTCTCTATCTATCTATCTATCTATGTCTGTTGTCTGTTATCTATCTATCTATCTATCTATCTATCTATCTATCTATCTATCTATCTATCTATCTATCTATGTTCTATCTATCTATCTATCTATCTATCTATCTATCTATCTATCATGTATGAATCTTGTTCTTTCTATCTATCTATCTATCTATCTATCTATCTATTTATGTCTTGTTCTTTTCGTATCTATCTATCTATCTATCTATCTATTTATGTCTTGTTCTTTTGTATCTATCTATCTATCTATCTATCTATCTATCTATCTATCTATCTATCTATCTATGTCTTGTCTGTTCGTATCTATCTATCTATCTATGTCATCTATCTATCTATCTATCTATCTATCTTAGTTTGATCTGTATGTATGTATGTATGTATCTATCTCGATCCTTTTATATATTTTTAAAGTTTAAAATATTTATAAAAAATTATTAAATCTCTATCTATAAAAGGCAGGATGTGTGTATGTGTGTAACGAATGCACGGCCGCAGTTTTCGACGGACTTGCACCAAAATTTACATGCACATGCTCCAAGTGAGCGGAAAGGCCAAGACCGACGTTGCATTTCCCAACTCCCATCGATAGTGGAAATAATCGATTTTTTCATGCTTCTACGGCAGTTTTCATGTAGTATGCGGCCATTCTTTACTGGCCAGGGTGAGAGCCAATAGCTGGCTGCCACAAATAGGTAGGAAGATTCTATTGGCCAGCGTGAGAGCCAACAGCTGACTGACTATGTTAACTAGCATGCAAAAAAAATCGATAGCTGAATTCGTCACAAGTGGGAAAAATTTAAATCTGATGGCACTTTACTCCAATTGGCTCATTCGCTTGCTTAAACTCAACGTTAATTC